TTAAACAGCAATCATTATATAAAAACAATACGTTTCAAGTAGATGTTACTTCTAGATTGCAAAGACATTTTACACCAGAACCAACAGTTTGTTTTCTCTAAATAAAGTTTAAGAATTTTCCTAAAACTACTATTTTCTATAAAAAAAACAACACTATTTCTCTGACTGTTGCAAATTATCTTTATTATAAGCTACATAGCTCTAACCAAAAGAAAATTTCAGTGAGAGGCGCATGCTATTTTGTATAAATCTGCGATTTGTGCTTTCTGTTTATATTTAGATAGACTGAAAATTTCACAAGCATTTTCATAGAGATCCGACCCTTCTGAAACTAAACCGTACGTCATGCTAAAATATGAACAATGAAAAAAAAAACATTAATAGGACTATAGATTGTTTTAGATTGAAGGTTTTTCCACAGCAATATAAGGCTCAAAGCTCTAGTGCAAGCTAAGTGACCGCAAAAGATCCTCGTGACCTGGTCGATTTATGACAGTCGGTTTGTTCTTCAATTAAATAAAAAATTCGAATTTTCAAACAAACAAAAATGGTCATTTAGGATTGGCGATGTCTTCTTCCTGTATATAGAGCGATAGCATTTTCGTAAACAACATCATTTTCGTGTGCCAACCGTTAAAATATCATTTTGTTTCCGATTAGCCAATACGTTAGTTTGGAGGTTACAGTAATATAAGGCCAAAAAGAACATTCCTGCAAGATGCCCGCAAATCATGGTCGTTCGGTATCGGCTAATTGTTATTTCTGTATAAAATGTATGTTATTTGCAGTAAACGCCATTTTCTAGTAACAACCGTTAAAACATTATTTGTGTGATTCCGTTGCGGGTTAGCCATTGCATATGTTTAAAATATTCTTTTACAGCAATATAAGACACACAGCTCTTACCCAAGGGAAATGGCTTTGAGAGGCCTGCATGTCATTGCCATATTTGGATGGATTTTCGGTATATAAATTGTATGAATTTCGTGAAAAGACTATTTTTTTTGGAGTCAACCGATGAAACATGAGATGTCTGATTCTGTGACGGATAAGCAACCGTATTAGTATTGAGGTTTTTCTTTGCACATTGCCCTTTTAAGCCTACGGTTGTACAACAAACAGTCAAACCACCATTTGCCTCATTCCGTTGAGAATTAGCCATTGCATTAGTTTGGGTGTTTTTCTTTGCAGCAATATAGGGCGACAAGTTTTAACCAAAGAAAAATTTCCACAGGAGACCCATGGTCATTTTGTTACTAGCAGTTTGATCTTTCTGCATGTTAAAGGGACTCAACTGAGGATTCAAAGCATTGAATCATAACATTTGAATTTCATACATGAATGAGCTGGGTCACTTTAAACAGAAATATATGCAAAGATAGTTAAGAAATATACTTTGAAATAAATTGAAAATCGTATTTTTATGCTTTTTTTTTAGCCCGCTTTGAGTGAAAAGCGTTTAAACGCTTTTCATTTTGGGTCATGTTTTTACAATTTGAATAATTATTCTGGAAAAACGAAGTGGTCGAATGATCTGCAATTTTACACAAAGATAAGTAGTCTAAACCTACATCAAATGGTACATTTATCTGTAAAAAAAATTTTCAGTCCACTCATGTCAAAAAACCTTAGTCGAGTCCCTTAAACTGTATGAATTTTTGTTAATAACAACATCTTCTCGACCAACGTTAAAAAGGAGTATGTCTGATTCCGGAACGGACAAGCCATTGTATGAGTTTTAAGGAATTATTAGAGCAATATATTACACACAGTTTTAACCTATGGGAAATGGCCATGAGAGGCCCGCATAACGTGGTCGCATTTTAAATTGCAATTTGTTCTTTCTGTAAAATGATAAAATTTCGTAGAAAAAAGCATTAAACGCTGTTATCTGAAGCCAATCGTTCAAACAATTTCAGTCTGATTCCTTTGCTAATTTGACATTGCATTATTTGGAGGTTCTTCTTTACAGTAATATAAGACACATCTCAAACACAAGGAAATGGCATCAAGAGGCCCGCCCGCATGGCATGGTCCTTTTTGAATGATTCTTTTTTGTATATTAAATGTATAATCTTTCTGTACATTTTTTCGGAGTCGACAGTTAAAACATCATACATCAGATATCATTGCAATTGAAACAATCTTGGTATATGATACTGAATATAAAATGTTTGAACTCGGAATATTTCAGACTTTCAGAATTTGTTCCTATGAATAGCTAGCTGTTCAAAAATAAATTAACCCAACCCCAAATTCATAATTTGAATAACATGACTCTGGACAATTTCTACAAAGTTTGGTTAAGAAGGACATGGTCGGACATGGACAAAATAAGATTCAGAAAGCTCACTTTGACCTTCAATTGGATGAGCTAAATATAATGTGAGAACGCTTGCACCTTGACAGATTTATTCAACGAGAAGAAGTGTTTCTTTGTTGTTGTTTTTTTATCGTTAGGCACGTTCTCAAAGGGTCAAACATGTAGAACATAAATCAAACATTCACTATCGTTTTAACTAAATGACCAATACGTATTAACCCATAATGTAGTCATTTTGTTCAATTTAATCCGTGCTTTGAAGCGGTGCGTGTGCAAATTTTTTTCTTAAAGATTTTACGCTTTAAATCCTGTATTTTAACTTAAATTCAATACGCAAAATGGATGATGCAAGCATTCACGAAGTCTAGTGACTTTTCCAGTAAAAATGGATAAGGGTGACATCATCACGGTATACAAACGCGAGCTTGCGATTGCAAGCGATCACTGTACCCTTCTGGCGAGCCTATACATTTTAACTTGAACCTTTCTTACGACAACAGGAAGTAGATTTGTTAATATAATGTGGTCATGCTGACTTGCAATGGTAATCAATCAATTAACCAATCAATCAATCATTCAATCAATTAATCGTTTATAATTTCATGCATCTCGGTATATATTGGAAAAAAATCTCAAATCTAAGCGACTAATCTCATTATCAAAATAATTTTTATTTTTCGGGAAAGCCGTTTTGATTGAAACATCAATAGTGTATCAAGAACAAATATCGATTTCAGTTGTAACATAGGTATAAAAATGAAATTCACTTTAGATTATACTGTTATTTTAGTTCTGTTCAAATACAATGATAGGATACTACGTCATCGCGCACCTGCTGAATGCTCCCACTTGGACCATTCTTTCGTCGACTCGAAGGTAAAATACAATTTTATTATAAGAAAACGTAAGAGTATCAAAAAATCATGTAGCGCACCAAAGAATTGCTGTTGTACTTGAGATAATTTAAAAAAAAAAGGTTTATAGATTTATTGCCTGGTTTAGGCCTGAAAATGGGATAAGTGTTTTTCTCTGAATGCTCCCACTCGGACTTTTCCCAAAACATATTTGAAATTAGGTTGAAAACCTTTTTGAAAATTATTTTTAACGTACCGGAACATAAACCGAGTCATGTTTACCCATTATTCTATATAATTTTCAAATATTTCTATTCAGAAGTCAGTTTTTCTTAATTCTTTTTATAAAAATGGAAAATGCTCCCACTCGGACTCAACTTCAGAGATGCTCCCACTCGGACCTATAAATATATACAAATTTTGAAAGCACATAGCTGTGTTAAGATATTATTATTTTTTCAAAATATCTTTATATTCACGTTCATATATTCATATAATCAGTTAGAATTCAATGAAACAGCATTTTTAAAATACGATACTAATATTTAGATCACTAAAGTTGTGACATATTTTATCAAAACAGTCTCGTAAATATGTCTTCTTAGAGGATCAGTTATCGGCCTAAGAATAACAAAAAAAGGTTGTGTTGAAACAATTCCTCGTTAAATAGAGTCGCTGAAATAAGAAACAATTTGATTATACATTTCAAAAATATAATAACGTTTTGTTTTGCAGAAAGTATTTGTGTTTGTGACCAGTATGGGAAAAGGTATAAACCGGTCACATTGCGACGTAAGGAAGCACATGGCAGGACATCTTGGCACGGCATAGCTGGGGCAAATATTTTAGATACCAACTGTGGATATATCTCAGTGAGGAGGAATACTCTAGAAAACACAAGAATAATAGTTCTTTGAAGTAACTGTCTTTTGTTCAGTTTTTGCGTTAATTTTTGGACAATGTGTCATAAAGGATCAATTCATCTGAAACTTCACTGGAGGATAGATTTCAATAAAGTAAAATACCGCAAACAAGAATGGCAACTCTCCAGTTTCGGAGTTATTGCTCTTTGTATTCACTACGATTAGTTTGCAAGGACCATACCTCTAAAGTTATTTGAGATATAAACTTGAAACTGTAAATTGAACATGTTTAATAGAAGTGAATAGCAGAGCATAAGGACCAGAAGTGTTCACTTAATGCTTCTTTGATGTTTTTTCTTTGTTTTTTTTTCATGGGAGTGTTATTTTTGTCATGATTTATTATGTCTAGGCTATAACTTTTCATTAATTTTCACGAGTGTCATTACTTGGAATTTTTACATGAATGTAAGGGTTACTTCCCCTATGAAATGTATTTCCTCCTTTTCGGCGGGGGATTTTACTGTCTGTGATTCCTTCTTGTATGATTGTTATTATTTTAACGTCATTTAAATATCCTGAAATCATTTTTCTATGGTTTTATATCATAAATATAATGCTCAAATGAAGATTTATCAATATTGTTTGTTCCAAAAAGCATTATCTGTAAAGATAATACCGGATTTACAATTCATAAAGGGAGGTAATTAGAAATATATTTTAGTTTAAACATATTTTATTTCAAACATTTTCACACAAACAATTATTACATACAATCAATTAGTTACATAATAAACAATGCTGAAAAAGGATTAGATCCGAAAGCATACAATGCTTATAGAGGTCTTTTCCTAACATATAATTCATAACTGTAAATTTGGCGGTAAATTACATGTTCGAAATAGTATATCATGAAACATTTTATTGATGATGAATAAAGAAAGATGAGGACGGCAAAAGTGTCTATTCAGAGCTAAAAGTAAAAAAAAAAATAGTTGAAATAAGTTAGATAGGAAATCTTGCTATATCATGTTTTAAAATCAACATGAAATGCTAATACTGTGACCTAGTGAAATGACACACAAAAACATATTGAGATTGATGGTCAGAAAAAGATGAGATTGATTCAGTAAAAATGGTGCAAATACATAATATTAAGGAAAAGATATTATTATAGAATCTATTCGGTATGTCAACGGAGTAGGCAGACTTTGCAAAGGACTATGGAAAACGTTTGCTATCTCGGATATATATTTGAACTGCCTGGAATATACTGGTGTTTATGACGTCACTTAAGTTGTTATCACCTCTCAGTAAAATGGGGAGAGTAACATAACAATAAGCCGATAAAGTGTGAAAGAGGATATTTCGGATATTATTGTATTGTTGACATTCAAAGAAAAAGTGGTAATTTGTTTCTGGAAGACCACATTGACACAGTGGCGAATTTGTAATATTTTTTCTGAATAAGTGATAGTTGAGAGGACTACATTCAGTTCGTAGGCGTGCATGGTATATTTGCCATTTTCTGATACCTGTATAAAAATATTTTGGACATTTTGATAGGTCGCTATTCAGAAGACTCTTGAAGGATGATAGTGAAGGTGCATTTTGTAATTCAGCAGGGAGGTCGTTCCAGTCTCTTAGAGCAGAAGGAAGAAAAGCATTATAATACAGAGAAGTTCTTGTTCGTATACCGTTAAAATCGTTTGAGTTGCGAAGATTGTATCTTGATGTCTCACCTACTGAAGGGGGAACAAGAGATGAAAGGTAGTTTGGGGAGAGTCCATTTTTCATTTTGTAAAGAAGTATGAGTTTGTGTTTCCTTCGTCTAGACTCTAAAGATTCCCAAGGAACTTCTCGTTTGAGCTCATGCAAAGAAACAAGTTTACTGGCACCAGAGACAATTCGTGAAGCTTCGTATTGGATTTTATTAAGTTCATTTTTCTCATATTGAGTACAATTTATAAAGACAGTATCGGCGTATTCTAAAATAGGTCTGATGTATGACAGATAGAGAATTTCTAAAGATCTACGATCAAGTTGAAATTTAAGTCTACGCATAATATGTAAACGTTTCCAAGCTCTTTCCTTTATGTAGTTAATATGAGTATGCCAAGAACCATTGTCAGAAAAATGTAAACCAAGGTGTTTGTGAGAAGTAACTGCAGATATCATTTCGTTTTGCATGGAAAGATGTGGATGAAAAGGTTTAGATGTTTTACGTGTGATTGTCATGGTTTCAGATTTAGAAGGATTGAACTGGACCAGCCATTTATCAGCCCATAAAGAAATTTTGTTTATATCACTTTGAAGAGTCTCAGCTGCATGTATCGGATGATCGACGATTAAATAAAGGCTGGTATCATCAGCGAAAAGATTTACACAAGACCTTAGATCTACAACAATATCATTTATATAAACTAAAAAAAGAAGTGGACCCAAAATCGAACCTTGAGGGACACCTGCTTTGATAGAAGACCAATCAGATTTAGCACCAGGAAGAACCACAGATTGACGTCTATTTGACAGATAGTTTGAAAACCAACCAAGAAGAGGTCCTTGAATACCAGCTCCTTGTAACTTAAGTAGGAGACCTTTGTGCCACACTTTATCGAAAGCCTTGCTTATGTCGAAGAACACAACTCGTATCTCTAGACCGTCATCAAGTGCTTTACAAAAAGAATTGTAAAGAAATGTTAGTTGATTCACAGTTGAATCACCGGGTTTGAAACCAGATTGAAGGGGAGATATAAAATCATTTTCATGAAGAAAGTTAAATATATATTTAAACAAAATACGTTCAAAGACCTTTTCCATACAACAAAGAAGTGATATAGGACGATAGTTGTTGGCATAGAAGGGTCACCTTTCTTAAAAATTGGACAAACATTAGCATCTTTCCAAGATTGTGGGACTTTGCAGCAGCGAAGTGAATGGTTGAACAGGGAACAAAGTGGATATTTAATTACGGAAGCTGTTTCACACAATATCCGATTGCTAATTTCATCAGGCCCTGACGCTTTATTTATATTGAGAGTATTGATAGCATCCTCAACATCTTGATGTGTAACCGTGATTGAAGTGAGTGTGCGAACAGGCTGTACGTAGAAATCTTCTGGAGTTTCTTTATTAGAATTATCAACAGAAGACTGACTGCAGAAAAATTTATTTAATATATCAGATTTAGATTTATTGTCAAATATCAGTCTGTTAGAGTCTGGACATGTCAGTGCGGGAATGATTTGTTTTTCAGTCGGAGATATAAATGATTTGATGACTCTCCACCAGTCTTTTTGTATAGTGTTATCAGATGTGAGTGAATCTGCCAGTTTCTTTATATGGTTTCGCTTGGCAGTATGAATAAGTGAAACAATTCTGTTACGAAGTTGTTTAAATTTGTGCCAGTGAATAGTATTTTGGGTTCGTTTTGCTCTGTGGTAAAGTTTCTTACGTTTACGAATAAGTTGTTTAATTTGTGACGTGATCCACACTGCATCATTTGGTTTAACTGTTATTGTTCTTGTAGGAATACACTGCTTTGAGAGTTCAAGAATCTTATTGGTTATTGTTGTTGTGTGAATATTTATATCATTGTCACTATATTGTTCCCAGTCTGTATGCATAATGTGATGTTTAAGGGTGTTGTAATCGCCTCGATCATACAACCATACAAAACGTTTGAAAATGCTTAATTTTGGTCTAGAAAATGAAAAGATAGCAAAAATAGGACAATGGTAGCGTATGTTCTGGTCTAGGACTGGTTCTGCAATACCGGAAGTAATAACTCGATGACTACAAGATACAAGAAAAAGGTCTAAAACCGAGGCTGATGTTTCGGTGAAGTGAGTAGGTTCATTAATTAGCTGTTCAAGGTGAAATTGTTGACATATAGAAAGAAGTTTGCGTGACAGAGTAGAATTTACTGGATTGAAATTAAAGTCTCCAGTGACGATGATGTCTGTTATATTTGTGTCTAATGCCATGTTAAGAGAATCCTCGATAAAAGTTGTGTAAAGTGCATCTGCATTGGGGGGTCGATAGAAGACACCGAACAGAATATGTTTTGTTTGGGAAAATATAATCTCAACCCATAGACATTCAATATTTCTTGGTTCGAGATCCAAACGGCGTTTGTAGAAAAGCGAATCTTTGATGTATAAGATTACTCCACCGTGACGGTCATCAATCCTATCCTTTCTTTCAGGAGTGTGAAAGCATGGTATCGATACATCCGAATCAGAGATATTTGGATTAAGCCATGTTTCTGAAAAGGCAAGGATATCAAACATACTAAATTCAGTGGTAAGAACGTCTATTTTGTTCAACAGACTTTGTACATTGTAGTGAATGACAGATAAACAAGAATTTGATGACATTAGTCCTGTGAAGTCATGAGACATAGACGATGAAGTGGATAGAGATGAAGTTGACGAATTAGGAGTCAACGGACCAGGATTTGGATGAATATCTCCCGACAGAATAAGAAAAACAAACAACCATTGGATAATTATAATATTTGTTAGAGTTTTGACAAACAGATGAGTGAATACCAAGTTTTGAATATAACGCTCATGACATGGAAGGCATCGTCTGTATGGATATCTTATGTTGTTTTCGGCTTGATATCTTATATGTAAGGAAAATGAGTATGTTTGAAACATGTTAGATGCAATGTATAGGAGAGATAGCATGTTTAACAAAAGTGTGAATTTCCATGGACAGGTGTAGGAGATCATGATAGTGGTACATGATAACTTTTTCATTATGTGATTGATGCTATGAGCATCAAGAAGCTAACTATCACAATCACACCTACACAAGTCGTGTCTTTTATCGGCCAATGCGTTCCATTTAACATAATCCGAATAGATGTTAATATAGAGTAAGAATGAACATAAGAAGAAAAGGTGTATATGTAAAAGACAAATAGATGAAAAAACATTGTGTTAGAAATAAGATTTAAATAGAAGCTAAATGTGATTTGAATTTAATGCTGCCAATAATTAGACAATGATGAATACACTTATCTAGAAAATGAATATTATGAAGTATAGTCGTTTATGTTAAAACTTTCTTGAGTTAAAATATTTCAGATGTTGAAGCTCAAACCGTGTGTGTATAATAATCACAATATGATTACATAATTTTCACATAAAGATGATACAGTGGTGAACAAAAGTCGTACTGATTTTTAGACAAAAACAAAAAAAGAAGATAGACTTACTATTATATACCTATTAACTTACTGTTATCGCATCAATAAAACAAATATATATATTTTGTAATATCTCCCAGAATATATACATAACTATATACATCTATTGAGTACAATACTTACTATTATATACCTATTAACTTACTGTTATCACATCAATAAACAAAAATATATATATTAATGTCTCCTAGAATATATACATAAATATATACATCTATTGAGTACAATACTTGTCATATTAACCCTTAACAGGCATACAGTATTAACAGTGTTAGCTATTGCAAGCATTTATAACACCAGTCAATAGGTCCAGGCACTAAACAATAAACAAATTCTCTGCTACAAAAATAATGATAGTGCATGTGCTTTCACGTTATAAAATAAGCAAATGACGTCTGTACAGATTGTATAGAATATATAAACCGCACAATTATATATTTAAAGAAATTCAAACTAACAAACACGCATCATAACCAATATTTTATAAGTTAATATGAAATTTATTCATAAAACTATTCGATTTATTAGGACAGTAGCGCTGTATTGTATGGAACCAGGTAAGGGTATTTTAATCTATACTAACTGGTAATTAATTATTATTTCAAAATTTATTAAGAACTAGTGATCATTAGGACACTTATTATGCATTAATTTTATAGTTACTTTCTTTTAAATGAATTTGAGGACCACATTCAATTTATTTACATGGTAATTATGGTCCCAAATTAATGTAGAATAGATCTTATATTTGATCAGAAAAATATTTTATACACAGACAAAAAAGTTACAACTTCAGGGGCAAAACAAAATAAATTACTTGTTTACAGTCTAAATACTCATAAGTTGTAAATATATTTTCTATTAAGTGTAAGTTGAATTCTTCAATAAGAAATGAATGCATACATGTATATTTTAATGATTACATATAATGTGGACAAGCATTTGCAGTACGTATTTCACATATTCTTTAATGTTTGAAAATTATTTTTTATAGCATAATTATATACATATATATAACATTTAAATTGGTAACAACCTGAAATATAACTTACAGGATCTTTAATTACCAAGATATGGTAAAGACTGTGATAAAGAAATAACTGTGATCTTTGTTTTCTTATTTATTTAATTTTGTTATTTTAGATAAAAATACGTACACATGATAACTTTCATACTTAAAATTGTAATTGTGATGCATGCTTTATGTGCCATGTTATGGCAGTACATTGACTTTTTAACCAGATCATGACAAAAATGATTTACATGTTGTTCTTTAATAAACTATTCAAATCAACCGATAGATATTGACTTCTTTATGTCCATAAACGAACCATTATGTTGTTTTAAAATCTAAATCACAAGTTTAACAAACACGCAAATCATTGAGTTTTAAATTATTAACAAGATATTAAAGTCAGCAATTATTGAATAAATGCAGGCATCTAATATGTGCACGAGTCCAACAGAATCTTAATCCAGTATGGTACTAAACAATGTATAATGACTTCTTTATAAAACACCACCATTTTTTTAACATCTAAACAAAACTTTATTCTTGAGATCCAAACTGTCCATTTAAAGTCTTATAGTCCTAGCTTTGTTGTTGGCAATAATTTTGAATCATCCCTTCGGATCCAACACAAGTCAAGTGCACCTTTTTGTATAGTTGAAACTTTGCCATGGCACCTTGTTCCTGCCCAACGACGTCATTCTTCAGAATCAAAAAAGTGATCTCTGTAAAAAGAAGGAAAAAGTTAATGTTGCCAAACACAGTAGTTATTGACAAAATGGTGTAAAAATTGTGAGAATAGTCCATAAAAGCTTAACACAGCAATGTGCTTTCAAAATGTATATATTTGGGTCCGAGTGGGAGCATCTCTAAAATCGAGTCCAAGTGGGAGCATTTTCCATTTTTATAAAAAAAACTTTAAAAAACTGACTTTTGAACAGAAATATTTGAAAGTAATCTAGAAAAATGTGTAAACATGACTCTGTTTATATTCCGGTACGTTAAAAATAATTTTCAAGAAGGTTTTCAACCTTATTTCTTATATGTTTCGGGAAAAGTCCGAGTGGGAGCATTCAGAGAAAAACACTTATCCCGTTTTCAGGCCTAAACCAGGCAATGAAACTATAAACTTTTTTTTACAATTATCTTCAGTACTACAGCCATTCTTTGGTGCGCTACATGATTTTTTGATACTCTTACGTTTTCTCATAATAAAATTGTATTTTACCTTCGAGTCGACGAAAAAATGGTCCAAGTGGGAGCATTCAGCAGGTGCGCGATGACGTAGTATCCTACCATTGAAATACATCTCAAGACAAAAAAGTTTAAAAATCAGAAATAGAACTATTTGAAAGACCCTGTTGCAATACTACGCTGGTTGTGTTATGCTAAACGATTCATCAACTAAAAGAAACTCTGTGGAATTCTCTTAGTGTGGTTTCTTTATGCGCAACTATAGATGATATTCTTTAAAGTGAAAGCTTTGAACACCCTTACAAATAATTACGATAAAGGTCATTTCTATGTTTGTGGACATTTTATATAAATAATTCCTGGAACTTTGTAGACAGTAAGCACGTTTAGTTAATAAAATCTCAATTATTTCATTCCACTATACAGTATAGTAATTTTACATGTATACGAGAATTATAAAATGTACAAGGTGTTTAATATCCGTAGTTCATTACTTCTATTCAAGGTTTACATAAAAAGTAAGCTTACATTGAAAAGAATAAAATCTAATATATTTCATCTGAATAGTACGTTGAGCAAAGACTCGCATTCTAACGGTGGTACAGAGTTACGTGGATTTTTTTTTAATTACACTGTTTCTTTTTGTTTTATTTGTTAGAGCTAATTAGCGGGAACAAGATTAAAATACATTAGAAAAAAGGGTAGCGAGATAGCTTCTTATTAAGTGCAGTTCCAAAAAAACTGTGCATGTTACCTCTGTGCCACCGTACAGAAGAATTTGGCAATTTGACCCGTTGTTTCTTTTGATCATCTATTCACAAATGACGTACCCACCTAGCACTAATCTCTCTTCTTCAGAATAAATTGTACGCTTGATAGTTATAAATGTACCATTTGTGCTACATCAAGAACAATATATGCTTAGCATCTTTCTCAATGATTTCTTTTTTTGCGACGGTTCATTAGGTCTACCTGATTTCGAAGCATTTTCAACAGACTTTAGACCAGAATCATTTTTCTTTGTCCACCTACGGACAGTGTCATAAGACAGTGAAATATTACCTTAAACAACCTTATATTCGATGAAACGATCTTTCAACGAACAACCAAGTAGTGTGCGTTTTTATATATGCCCGTATCTTTTCTTTCTTAACTAAGCTTTTGCCAACCATTTTCATATACAGTAGTGAATGAATGTGTGCATTCAATTGGCAAAATGCTACACTTTGAGAAATTTTATTGGTACATTTATATTTTATTGTAAATGTATTGAATAGAACTATCCAGTTGAATCTAGATTTTTCAAAATTTCATCGTGAGTATCGAGCAATTCTTTTCAAACAGCCCTCGTAAGAAAAGTTATCACTTTATGAATCTTTACGTTTGTTAGTTTGAATAATTATGTTAAAGATTTTAATGTTCGTATCAGACTGGATTGTATATGTTTATGTTGCTATATGAATCAATCTTCATCCTCATCCATTTAAGTTCTGGCTCTTTTTATGATTGAGTTGCATAATTGATGTCGTATTACTTATTGGTCATGAATCATGAATGGTCATATAAATGATATCAAATGATATGGATAAAGATGAGATTCAAAACGAGCCGCATTTGAGTGAGAGAGTTGTCATTTTAACCTTATATCTTAAACATAACAGTTACGTTCTTAAACATAGCAGTAACGGAAAATATTAATACATACATTTATACGAGTATATCAGTCCATTTTATCGAAGGAAGTATGTATAAACTACCAGTGTTAATAGGATATTTTCTTTGTGTATAGTGACTTACAAAATCATGAGTCATGTTAGAATATTGCTTAAAGAGAAGATCCAAGTTGGCTTATACTGTTTGCAAATTTCACCATACAACATTTTATATCCCTTACTGGATTGTGTAGAAAGAAAACGTTAGTAGATGTAAAAAATGCACTCTCCCGAACTTTTAAGATGGTTAAGCTAATTTTAATTTGCAGA